TTTGAGAGGCTGAGGTGAGTGGATTGCCTGAGCCCACGAGCTCGAGACCCACCTGGGCAATGTGGCGAGACCTCATCTCTACAATAAATCAAAAATTAGCTGGGTGTGAGGTGGAAGGATCGCCGGAGCCCAGCAGGTCAAGACTGCAGTGGCCGGGAACGGCCACTGCACTCCAGTCTGGGCGACAGAGTGAGACTCCAACTCAAAAAAATAAAATAAAATAAAACAAGACCAGCTTACAGTCTCTGTAACCTCTGGAACTTGGCTCCCTATTGATTCAATGTGGGGTCATTTTGGTGGAGAAGAGGGAGAACATGCACTAGATTCCCATTCCCCATATCCTTTTTATTGATCCATCTTAGATTTATTTCTTAGTCTCTGCTTTCCATACCCACCTATAAATGCAGTATAATTTAAACATAATACTGGATCTTAGAGTCTGTTCATTTAACCATTTGAGGTAACAAACTGTAAAAGTTGTCTTTGTTCTTCTTGAAATAGTCTGGAATTAGTAGACCAATTCACTGTTAAGTTACCAGTCCTTGACCTCATTCTGTTCATTTCACAGCGTTATTTTTGCTCCCCAAACCTAAAGTGATCTCCTGTCTAGAGCAAGGGGAAGAGCCATGGGTTCAAGTATCCTTGGAGTTCAAGGACAGTGCCAAAGAGTCTCCTGCAGGTAAATACAGCATGGAGAGAGGAGAAATGTGCCATTACAAGGGCTTAACATTTTAAGATTCTGCTCCTGTTTTTAAAAAATTGATCATTGAATTTTTTTTTTCATTCCTATGATTTTCTTGTTCTGGGATACAAGAACAAGATGGCTGATTCTTATATTTATTCCAACAGAGTTAAAGCTCAAAAATGATGCTGAAAATCATCAGCCTGTATCTCTTTCTGATTTAGAAATACAGTTGCCAGGAGACATGGCATCAAAAAAGGCCAAAGTGAAAGTTCCCCAGAAAACAGCAGGCAAAGAAAATCATAATGATATGAACAGAGTGGGGAAATGGCATCGAGATTTTCCAGTGAAGAAGAAAAAGAAACTTTCAACGTGGAAACAAGAGCTGCTGAAACTTATGGATCTTCATAAGAAAGACTGTGCAAGAGAGAAGCCTTTTAAATGTCAGGAATGTGGGAAAACCTTCAGAGTTAGCTCTGACCTTATTAAGCACCAAAGAATTCACACCGAAGAGAAACCTTACAAATGTCAACAGTGTGATAAGCGGTTTAGATGGAGTTCAGATCTTAATAAGCACTTAACAACACACCAAGGAATAAAACCATATAAATGTTCATGGTGTGGGAAAAGCTTCAGTCAAAATACAAATCTACATACACACCAAAGAACTCACACAGGAGAGAAGCCCTTTACATGTCATGAGTGTGGAAAAAAATTCAGTCAGAACTCCCACCTTATTAAGCACCGGAGAACCCACACAGGTGAGCAGCCATATACCTGTAGCATATGCAAGAGAAACTTCAGCAGGCGGTCAAGTCTTCTTAGACATCAAAAACTCCACCTGTGACAGGATGCTTGTCTGGTGTCCTTCTGAAGAAATTCACCAAATGGAGCTTGACACTAAAGTTTATGAAAAAATACAAAATCATGAAGCATGAAGAATTTTTCATTATTGGAATATTTGGGGGAATAGACATGTTTCACAGAAAGGGACCAGGACTAACTCTGCAGGAGATATCTTATTAGTTGTGCTACTTACTGTTTTTATCTTTGATTGTCAGGGAATTCCTTAACCACAGAGGTTCTAAGACTATTCTGAATAAGGCCAACGCCATTTTGGGATTGTACCTAGAAAAATAGAAAAGTCAGCTTCAAAGCAGCCAGTCAGTAATCTTCTGTGGTCACAGAAGTAAATATTGTTGGTTTTGCCTTGATCTCTCCAGTCACTTGTAGAAACATTTGTAGCACGAGGGTCTTCCAAGACAAAAAATAATGTGCATGCCATTCTCTTCAGGATAGCAGGCTTACCAATTTTAATAGTCTCGTGGGGGCAGAAATGAATTCTAATGTAAAGTGTTCCAAGAACCAAATTGGATATACCTCCCTCTTTTTTGGACTTTGGACACTGTTCACAAAGTTGGACATTATTTGAGTTCCTTTTTGAACTTTTTGGCGACTTCTGCTCTTGAATCCTGTTATCAGAATTTTTACTGTGATGAAATCATATTTAGTTTACCACTAGGCAATCTGCCAGATGAACTAATAATGCACTATTTTTTGCCTCTCATTGGTGATGTTTGGAAAATGGAAAGCATCTCTAATGAGATCATATGGAAACGGGTTGGAATTTGTAGCCATGGAAAATACTGGGGATGCCAAAAAAAAAGTATACACATTTTAAATAATATTATCTATGTATTGCTTTTAGTTTGCCATAATTAGAAGTGTCCGGATACTGGTGGTAACCACTTTGAGCAACTCTTGTTATTGCAGAAGTCAAATGTGACTTTTTTTTGGTCAATACTCAATATATTAAGTATTACAATTTTAATACAGTTTTTTCCTTTCTTAAAATGTGTATACATTTTTTGACACCCTATGTATATTAGATGTAAGTAATTTTCTGCATTAAAAGAAGCTAAACTTGTTTCCTTACCTCACAGTGTCAGTAAGATAAAGCAACCATAAAAATTAGCACTTGTCCAAGGACTGAAAGAAAATTAATGGGAGTTCACGATCAACTTCTCAGGTTTTTGTTTGTTATTAAGAATGAGTGATTTATGTTTGTATGTGGCCTGGAGTATGTGTGTACTGCAAGAGTTATCCTGTGGCTCCCTTGGCATTGAGACCTGGACATCCAATCAGCAGGAGACTGGGTTCCTAAAAGGAAGGGTTTGGAAACTGATGTTGAGTATTGAGCAAATCTGCATCCATGTTATTTTATGTTACACTGTAGGCTCTACCTGTTTTTGTTCTTTCCACTACAACATTTAACAGTAGCCTCAAGTGATAAATTTGATGGGCCAATGAAAGTATGTATAGCTATTGATTTTAACTCACTTGTTTAGCTATAGCAGTGTTCCTGTTAGAGCTCTTAGGTGTATCAGGAAAGGGGTTAAAAAAATGATCTCTTAATTTTCTTATTTTATAAATAAGAAAATTAAGGCTTAAAGAAGTACAGAGACTAGGTCCAGACCTCATTGCTAGATGAGCTTTTGGCTGTCATTTAGCTTCATCAATCAGATATGAAGGCAAGATTAGCAAGACAGATGTGTTATATTATCCCTGCACAACCAGCCTGGGTGATATTGTGTTGTGTCTATTTCTAGCTTATATAACATTCCTGTTTGTGTGTGTGTGTGTGTGTGTGTGTGTGTGTGTGTGTGTGTGTGTGTGTTTCTCTTTTAATTTAATTTTTTTAGAGTCGTGGTCTTCCTCTGTTACCCAGCCTGGAGTACAGTGTCTACGATCATGGTCAAAGTCCTGGGCTCAAGCGAGCCTCCCACCTTAGCCTCCCAAAGCGCTGGAATTGCAGCTGTGACTCACCATTCCCAGGCCCATTCCTGTTTTTTGATAGATTACTGAAGCAAACCTCCATTTTCTCTGTAAATAGAATGTTAGTACTCAAGTCAGGATTGTTCAAAGGTTTGATGGATTGACGAAAGTAAAGCACCTAAAACAGCCTATCCTATAGTAGATACACAGTCATTGTGTATTTCTTTCCCTTTCCTCTCTGCTCCAGTCATATTTTAGGCTGACTACTTTTAAAAAGCAGATGCATTTGTAGCTATTACAGCTCCACTCAGGAGCTGAGCACTTGTGGGGTGGTTATGCTAAGATGATTTGATCCTTGGCTTCAGTACTTTGTGGAACAAGTCACAAAAGTCACCTGAGCTATTGGTGTGGAACTTCAGCAGCAATTTTACTTATTTTCTGAGTTGAATTATAACAAGTGTTATTAAGTACAGCCAACTCTGAACTCGGGCTTGTATGCCTCATACCCAATAACCTCTCAACCCTAGACCCTTGGGACTCCTTTTCTTCTCCCAGGTCATATGTGGGTTTCTTCCTGGCACTGTGTTCATTTAATGAGGGCCTATGATTTGCTAGATGATGCCCTAGACTCTTGAGACTCAGCAGTGGGCAAGAGAGACAAAAAATGCATCCCCTTTTGGAGCGTGTATTCTAGTGAACAGTAAAAAGAAGGGTTTTCTTTACTACCCTGCAGTAAGATAAGGTCATGAGGTAGATTTGGTCAATGAGTTGTGAGCAGATGCCACACTTCTGGACTAAAGCATGTATTTACTGGCACAAGACTAGTTCTCTCCTTTCCCACCTCAATCCTGGAAGCACATACAGAGGAGCCACAAGATCAATGCAGTCTGGGATGCTGAGCCCCTGCCTACAGGACACCTATTCTGGAAAGTCCCCAGACCTGTAATGGACTTTGTGGGAATATGAGAAACAATCATTTATGTTAAACTACTAAGATATTGGTGCTGTGGGTTTCTTCACAACCTGGACTACACAAATAGAGCTTAGAGGAGGGAGGGCACTTGGTGGAGGTGGCTATTCTTAGATCCTTTTCCCTTTTCAATCTACCTAGCCTTTGACCTTCAGAAGAAATCTAGCTTCCTGTAGGCAATCAACTGAGCTGATATAACATTAATAGGAACACATAAGTTTGCAAGACTGTAGGTGATAGGGAAGAAATATTACTATCAGACAAATCTTGTGGAGGTTACTTGTTCAAGTGGACAAGGTAACCTTCCCTCCCTCCTTCCCTCACTTTCCTTATTCTTTCCCTGTGCCCTGTTTCCTCAAGTACACAAAACAGGCACTTCTATTGAATGGTCTGGGGAGAGGGTAGAGGTTGCCTTCCATTCCTTGTGTGAGTATGTAGATTTCTTCTTTTTTTTTTTTTTTTTGAGTTGGAGTCTCACTCTGTCACCCAGACTGGAGTGCAGTGGCCGCTCCTGGCCACCGCAGCCTCGACCTGCTGGGCTCCGGTGATCCTTCCGCCTCAGCCTTCCAAGTAGCTGGAATTACAGGCGCGTGCAACCACACCCAGCTAATTTTTGATTTGTTGTAGAGATGAGGTCTCACCAAGTTGCCCAGGCGGGTCTTGAACCCATGGGCTCAGGCAAATCCACTCACCTCAGCCTCCCAAAGCACGGGATTACAGGCTGAGCCACCAAGCCTGGTTTGTAGATTTCAAAGAGTAAGTTGGTAACTACCTCTGTTATCCCTTCTGCGAGTCATGCCTCAAAATAGATGAGACATAGGGCAAAAGCAGATTTGTCTAGATCAGTGTAGAGAAGGTGGCTGCTCTTCCTGGACCAAGGGGTGACGATTGGGAAGAAGCTTGGGCAGGAAGGAAGAAACAGGACAGTTTCAGTTGTAAAGTGGGAAACCTCCAGTGAGGCTTAGCTTAGCCAATAGCCAGCAACACAATGTTTCACAACGTCTTATGTTTGCAATTTGGGGTGAAAGTTGAAAGAAAGAATCTATATCTTTGTCACAGGAATGAGAACAGATTACCAAAAAAACCAGCATAAAACCAAAATCTATTGAGGCTTGATTTAAAAATGAAATATGAGAGAAGGCACACAATCCTGGGTTCAGCTTTAAATATTAGTACTGAATTTCTCACAAATATGTCCTTAAAAAAACAGACTGACTGGACATGGTGGCTCAAGTCTGTAATCCCAGCACTTTGGGAGACTGAGGTGAGAGGATTGCCTGAGCCCATGGATTCAAGAATGGCCTGGGCAACTGGACAAGACCTCATCTCTATAATAAATAAAAAATTAGCCGGGTGTGGCAGCATGCACCTGTAGTTCCAGCTTTTTGGAAGGCTGAGGCAGAATGATCGCTTGAACCCAGCAGGTCGACGCTGGGGAGACCATGAGCGTGCCACTGCACTCCATCCTGGGTGACGGGGTGAGAATCTAACTCAAGCAAAACAAAACATTTCTAGAAAATCAGAAGCATGCTTTAGTATTTTTTTTCAAGTCTCAAATGATTCCCTTGAACCTTATTTTAATTTGTTCAGATAGCAGCCTTACAGTGGCTACAAGGTTATTTCAGAGAACTGTAGCACTGACTCACCCAGTCTAGACCTCTGACCTCTGCCCTGCACTGGTCTAAGTGACCACAGTTCTGGGACCATCCCAGACCAAGATAGAGTTTTCCTTGCCATTAAGCAAGCCGGAGCTTCAAGCTGATCTTGAGACCTTAGATTTTTTTTAACTGAAGGGGAAGGACAAGGGAGTTTAGAATCAAACTAAATCTCAAAACTAAAACTCTTAGAGTTTCTGTCAGCTTTTGGAACTATTGAGAACAGTGTTGAATTTCCCTGGAGAGTTTGAGGAAGAACACCAAGCAGCCACTTCTGTTCAAATGGACAGTTGGGATAGCCAAAGACTGGACCACATAAAGGGCTTTCTAAACATAATAATTATTGAGTCACTCCCCTGAAGTGTTTAGTGAGCACTTCCTGCATTTCCTGGTGAGTTCTCACTCGCGTGTAATGGATCAAGGCTTCTCCTGTTCTTGTCTTGGGGATTTCTAATGCAGAGAGTAAATGTTGAAGCTCTTCCTGGGCTGGGATCTCTCCTGTGTATGATCTCTGAAGTGTCCTCAAGTGGGAAACATTGAAACTACCCACACTGTGTTTCTAGTGTTCTTCCCAGTGGGAATCCACCCAGGAAAGTAGAAAAGCATATTTTTGTTTCTGAATCTTTCCCACAGTTTTTTTTTTTTTCCTTAGAACCCACAAATCAAAGGATGTAGTTTCTTATGTGGGTTTATTGGGAATCGAGGCTAGGGTACTGTTTGAAGCATCTACCAAATTCACTATATGCATAGGTCTCCTTCATGTATAAATCCTCAATTGGGTAGTAATACAGGTAGGGGTGATACTGAAATGCCTTTTGTGGTTTAGCATCTATAAGTCTTTTCTCCTGTATCATTCACCCATATCTGATACTGCATGCACTTTGCCTAAACCAGTTCCTATCTTCTAGCTACCTCCTGTGAAAGGAATTAAGCAGGCTAGCTCTTGATTTGTGTTTCAGATTTAGGAAAACTATCAACGACTTTATTTCTACCACAGTTAGGACGATGAATCTTGAGTTGCACCAATCTTAGCACTAACATAAAAAAGAATAAGGTATATAATGTTTGGGTACAATGCACCTTTAAGGAAAAACTTAGTAAGAAGGCCACTGTTGAATTTTTAAAACCAATAGATATATTTTCAATATCAAATTTTCACACTAAACACTTATCCATGATTTGTATATGCAACCAAATGATTTCATAGCATTTGAAACAACCAAGAAGTAAAGTATCTTTAATGTACAAACAGACAAAAGTAAAATTAAATATTTTTAATATTAGAAAAATTATGATTGTCATAAAATATTTGCATACGGAACAATAGCTTCTTATACAGAGGAATTAGCTTTTATGGCATTCATTAGTGAGAGCCATCTATAATAAACCTACAGCCAACATTTTG